GTAAAAATCAACAGCGTTTTATCCCTCCATTCATCGCGATCTAGTCTTGGAGACCGATAACGCAAAAGTAATACCACGCACGGAGCGACTCTCGCCACTGCTTGCCGGCTCGACGTTCGGCGAGCGAGTGATCACGCGGCGACCTTCAGGTAAACAATGGCCCGCGTAACGTCGTACGATACCGCGCCGAGAGAAAAACAACAACGAACGTTGAGAATTCGTCGTCCCGCCTACGAAATTGAAAATTCTGTACTTGATATTTTACATTACTTTGTTCCGTGACTGTCACTACGTTTTGTGTATTATTCTACGGATTTATTGGGATTGATTAAATTAACTACCAATTCTGTTTAACCGAGAATATGTTTCGAAACAAAAATCGTTGTTACTTAAATTCTAATTACTAAGATTAGAGATTTTATCTCAATAGTTGGTGTACACAAATATATATATTTCTAAATTGCAAATCTTCATTTACTATGAATCTAAAAGAGAAGTGAAGCACACCGCGCTTCGAGAAAACTAATCGGCATCGCGGAAATATACTATCAAATATACTCTTTCTTAAACGTACATGATTCATAAAATTATGTTCTGTTTAAGAAACTTTTTTCAAATAACTTTTTAACGAACTGTGAGTGACGGCTAAAAACCTCTCCAAGGTCACTCTTGAAGACAATATATGTCAAGGTCATCGGGGCGGGCTCCCCTCATCGATATATTTACTAAAAATAATTTTTAATATTTAATAACATTAAATAAAAACATGTTATGTACAAGTATATATGTACAAATATATAATTATATTCCCTATTCCTGTTGCCTAGCATTGTGTGATAGGCTTTATGGATGTAGTTACGCCGGACATTCGGGCATATCGCATGTCCTTCGGATATCCGGTGGACGTCCATGTGGGACATACTTGCATTAATCATTTACTTTTAACAAGATCAAGGTACAGACACTTTCGCCGCGATTATCGTTAATACATTTCGCGAATATTTTGCTTTAAAATAAAATAATGTGATCTACAATTTAAAAATAATTTAAATTGTAGGTCTTAATTTAACGTTGCCCTGTTAAAAATGTTTGCGCGTTTCGGAAGAACAAATGAGACAAGTTCATTATTATGTGTACACGCGAGAAATGTGATATGACCAACTTTTATCTAATCGGTATTTTTTTGAGTGCTTAAAATATACTGTTTTAACATATATTTTTAGGCAGTACAACAAAAATAACGAATGGAGTAGAAGAAGATAACATACGCGCGCGCGTAAGCACACAAAATAATAATAGATAATAATAATAAACAAAATTAAACTATATGTATGCATGTATAGTGTGTAATTAAATTTAAATAAAATAATTTTCATAAATTATAGTTTAGATAATTTTTTTATAATATAAATACTTTAAAATTTCTTGTAGGAAATTTTTCTTATAAATAATAATATTAATAACATCAAGTGGAACATTATAAGTATTTTTAATTAGATAGAATGCATTAGATAGAATGCATAACTGGAAAAGTAAATTTTAAAGAAAAACTATTTAATTGAGCATAAAATAATAGCAATAAACAGTTAAAAAAATGAACTCCATATTCTTTGGAAGCGTTTTCTTTCGTCTTGTTTTCGCGATGACTATGAATTTAAATTCTATCATCTACAGCAACAAAGCTCACAATAAGAGTCCTTGCCACGTCGGTGTCCATCACCTTATCTTGCAGCTGCATTTTGCAGTTCTTTTCCTTCTTATGTGGCAAGAGGCTTTAAACCTGTTTCACACTGTCAAAATACAAGGTTAGCGCACGGTGTTGCCAACTCAATGAGTTGCCTCTACCAATTATCATAGCCTTAAAACAGTCAAAAGAAAGAAAATAAAATTTCACAAATGCTTAAACAGTGATACTATGTTCTAAATGGGGACAGATAATCAGTCGAGAAAGAGAAAAAAAACAAATTCGGACAAATACGAGGTACAAAGTACGAGATGCGAAGTGAACTTTGATACTATTAGCGTTTGCAAAATTAACGTTCCTTATCACTGTTCATCTTGCTAATCTGAAGCAAACGTATATTTTTATACACATGAAATTCTCCTTTTTCTTTTTAATTCGAACGACGTCTAAAGTGGATCACATAGTTTATTTTTTGTTTTCATTTTACATATAATATGGCAAATGTATTCGTCGTACTTATTTTTTAATACACGGAGAGAATTTTCTTTTAAAATTTATCCTGAAAATTATGTAATCGTGGGACGACGCGGTATTTCAAGAAATTTTAGAAGAGTCTTTTGAAATTTTACCACACATTTCACTAGTACCCAAACAACACGTATGTCTAAAAGACATCTTAAAGATTGTACAGGTAATTTTAGTATACATTTTACTAGTAAACTGCACGGTTCAATTTAAAAACACTCACAAAGTTGTTCAAACTGCCAAGTTGTCCCACGATCACATGATTTTCAGGATAAATTTAAAGAGAACATTCTCTCCGTGTACCTAAACGCAACAGAAGTCTTGAAAGCTTACCAATACCCAAAGTAATGTGAGACCAGTAATGGCGACGCAAGAAGTAGATGCCCTCTCGCCTCTGCAAGAGATCTCTCGCACTCGATTCAATATTTGGTGTATTATTTTGCGCATTCAACTTAAAAGCAGCCAACAAATTATACTCGAAGCGACCGATACGAGATATGTATCCGAATATGAACATCGTTTAAAGAGACAATTATCGTCCGTTGTTATCGCAATGAAGAAGTAATTTCAAGTTAGTCAGCGCTTCGATTTTTCGACGTACAGATTTCACGTGTGAATCGCGAGAGATATCTGTTTTGCCGGTTGACCGAGCATCGATAGCGAATCGCGAGGATTTAGCGATCACGCGACGATATCGATTGCTGATTATTCACGGCGAGCGATCGCGGTTTCTTCCCGTACTTATCGCGAACTCGTATCAAGAAAGACCAATACGATATGCGGGCCGCTAACCGCGATCCGTTCGACTGTCGCCGCGTGAATCATTAGGCACAATGAGAGTACGTTGTTTCCGACCAAAAAGTGTTTACGGCGCTACGTCATTTCTCGGAACCAGAGCTCGGCGTTCGACGCCCGATATTCAAAGAATTTCCGCGATTAATAAACCTCAATAATCAACGAGATTTTTAACAGCGCGATATATTACGTCCTCTTAATAAACGTTTTCTCCATTCTCAGGCTAGTACTACATTTGTCGTACGACAAAATTCTCGAGCATGTTGATTGGTTCCAGAATGGTAAAGTATCTCGAGTATCGAGAAATTTTCTATCCCGCAGCCAATCAACGTTCTTGAAAGCTGGCTGCATTTAGCTGAAAAAGCTGCTTTGCAACTGTTGTAAAATTCATAAATCTGATTGACGTATGCTCTTGAATGCACTCAAGATTAAGAGAATACGTCAATCAGAATCACGAATTTTACAACAGCTGCAAAGCAGCTTTTTCTGAACGCAGCCGATGTGTCGTACGAATGTAATACCAGCCTTGACCTTTTTATCGAAACAGGAACTTTATCTTCACTGCATGCTTAACAAAATTGCAACTATAGTGGGAAAAGCCTAAAGTGCGAAGAAAAAATTTTCAAATCGCAAGATCCATTCAAAATATATCAGTTTCCCCATTGCTTCGTGCTGTTGCTTAGAGAGTCTTCTTTCAATCTTCTTTCCCCCGCGCGTTTCCCACTTGGATAGCAAAATCTGTCGAGAGAATAAACAGCCGCTGCAAATTTTGTCGATAGAATGCCAGCAGAAGTATAACAGAATCTGCACTTTTAACGGAAGATAATGGCAGATTGACTGCAGAAACTGTGCAGAAGTTGCTGCTCCGTAACTATTTAAATGACGTACGTATCTCATGAAAGAATTAAATGATAGATTCTGCACGATTTCTGCCGAGCGATCTACCGTTAGATCATATCGGCAGGCTCCGCCGGCAACACGTAAGTTTAGTATCAATGTATATTACATGATCTGTTGCGATACCCGGGCAAGTCTGCTGCCAATCCGTTGCCATACCGCGAACAGGTTGTTTAGGTCCGGTTTCACCAAACGTTTAGCTTTAATCTTAGTCTAATTTCGTCTCTTTCTAAAGTAACAGTTGAAAAGAGGCAAAGAACGAAGTGAGCTAAGCTCAAAGTTAAGCAACGTTGACGAAACCGGGCCTTAATCTTACAATTAGGCGATCTTCGGCGACTCTTTGGTACACGATGGTACACGTACCAAAGTGTACCAGAGCGCGGTGTCCCGGTATTATTTATTTTGTGCATAAAAGCGCCAATGAAAATAATTACAAGCGCAAAAACTATATTCGACTGTGTCGGTAAAAAAGATGGCTGAGGGAGTTCTCGCCGATGGCCGAGGGCCCTTAAACCAGTCTCTATCTTTCAAAAAAAAAAAAAAAAATAGAAACACCAATCGTCAAGTTATCACATCGTCCTATTAGCGGAACGGTTTATCTAACTAGCTCTCGGCCGGCGGCGTGGCGCAGCCTTAAAGTTCATCGCGCAGCTGTAACTCCGTTTATTTGAGGCGCGGGAGGGCGGAAGGGACGGGTGGGGGAAGGGAGGGGGTAGGTAAGCTATGCACCGTAGAGAGGGTAGCGGTAGTGGGGGGGCGCGACGCCGCCGCCGTTGCTTTTGCTGCTGTTGCTGCTGGTTGCTGCTGTCATTGCCGTTCGCTGGCTCCTCGTGGGGTTAGCAGCCCCGGATAAATACGGGCCTGAGCGACGCGGAGCGGTCTCTCTCAGCCTCGCCGCCTCTCGCCACGCAGTTGCATTCTGTGCATTTGAGTCACGTCGCGGGGGCTACGTCACTCGCCAAAGTGTCGTTAGCGCGAGTCGCGGTCCGCGCGGTGGCCGATAAACAGTGCGTCCCGTCGGAGAGCGAGGAACCAGTGATCCGCGATCTCTTCTGCTATCCGAGGGGGGGGGGGTAGGGGGGGATTCGCCGCTTCTCCACGGCCGGCAGCTCGCGGGAGGAAACGAAGCCGTCCAGCCCCTCGTCGAGGAGACGAACGCCCCCCCGGGGCTCGCCGCTTCGGATCTTCCGACAACGGCGCCTCGATGGCAATCGCCAGGAGGCTCTCGCGCCAGTCTAATCGCACGCCCGCACGTGCCGACCAGCGTCGCGAGCCGACGATATAGCGCCGGCCGACCGATCTCTCTCGCCGTTGTCGTTACGCGGAGAGTTATCGAGCGGCGAGCGGCGTGGAACGCGCCGCGTTTTGTAGAAATATTTACCTCGGCGACGGCGACGGCGGCGCGCGCGAACGTCCGCGTGCAGATCAGCCTGCCCCGGGTATCGTTTGTTTACGGCAATCGCGTCCGCTCGTCCCCGTCGCGATTCCCATGCGATTGTCGCCTGATCGATCGCTGTGCGCGCGTGGATAGGAAATCCAGCGGAGGAAGAGTCCAGCAGCGGCGTCTTGGCTGAGAGAGAGAGAGAGAGAGAGAGAGATTCGTATCGGCGCGTGGGACACCGGAACGTCTCTTCTTTCCCCGAACTCACTTCCCGACCTCGTCCTGTCAAATGGTGGAGCGCAAGCATCAGCGGCGCACCATGGAGGACAGCGCGCAGGGTGCCCCGAGCGCCGTCCTCGAGGAGATTTTCTACGTGACGTCGAAGCGGAACACGTACTACAAGGTGAAGCTGACGGAGAAGGGCCTGAGCCTGCAGAAGGAGCACAACGGCGCCGCCAAGATCGAGACGATCGCCCTGGCTGACATAATCGGCTGCAGGTGCATGCGGTCGAAGCGCAGGAACGCGGGCAGCTGCGCCTGCCGACCGGGCGCGTCCAAGTCGCAGATGAAGCTGGTGGAGTCGGCCGAGATCTACCAGCAGTGCGACGAGCTCGACACGTCGGCCTACCTGTACATATACGCGTACACGCTGAAGAAGGCGCGCATGAAGGTGAGCAGCGTGAGGCGCGAGCGCACGACCATCACCCTGCGCTTTCGCAGCTTCGACAAGTACGAGGACAACCTGCGCGAGGCGAGCAGATGGCGGCTGGCGATCAAGTGCCTGGTCGCCAACGTGCCGGTGCCGAGGAACCTCATGAGCCCCAGCCACGGCAACCTGGAGACGCTGGTCGGGGGTGAGTGCGAGCGCGTCGTGTCTCTCCACCGAGGATCCGAGGATCCATCGATCGCGCGCGCGCGCGCGCGCGCGCGGAGCGAAAATAAAGGCCCGCATTAGCGATGCGTTTCGCGCGGTCCCGCGTCCCGCGGTTGAATCTCGCGTCGCTCGAGTCGCCGGCCGATCAGATGTTTCCACCCTTTCCCCGCGTTTCCGGGCGCACGCCCCAATTTCTGTTGATTTCCTCGGGGCAAATTGACCTTTCGCAGACTCGGGCGTGTAACAACAATAACGGCGCACGGTACCGTCCGGCCGCGCGTCTCAAAGGCGCAAATAGATTTAAAACTGATCTTAATCTGTTACATCACCGAGCGAATTCGATCCGCGAGGTCGAAATGTAAGAGCGGCGATCACGCCGGTCGTCGCGTAGTATGGCGTGCTCTTCTCTTTTCTTAAGTTTACCCTTTTGTGGGAACGTCTTTCAACCGTCAGCGTGATATTTATGAAAATTCCTTTAAATTCATGCCTAATCTTGACTAAAGCACTTTTTATACGCTTCTTTCCGTTTCAAGTCACAACACACGACTTGGCATACCGACGAATCTCGTTTGCACTCTGGGAAAAAAAAGTCAGTTATAACCCATTTTGGGACCCACCATTAGTAATCGAATTATTTGGATTGTTCGTAACTCTACTCTGGGAAAAATTTTGACCGTTTTTTGATGTAGTTAAGCAACTTAACATTTCGGTTATTGCCACTTAAGTGAAAATCTTTGCGTTACTGAATATCGACAGAACTAATTGAGAGAATTGATTAGTATTACTCTAATATCTTGAATATGGATAGAACGGCTAATTGTGATTTTTAGTTACGCGAGATAAAATTCGTAAAAGTTAAAGTTACGAACAATCTAAATAATTCGATTACTAATTGTGGGCCCCAAAATGGATTGTAACTGACATTTTTTTTCCCAGAGCAAGGTTGCATCTCGTGTTTTAACATAAAAATTGCATAACATCGAGATACGACGCAAAAGAGATCAGTCGATATGTTATTCCACACATTTCTTGACATTTAAAACGAATATTTTTAAACGGCAATAATCGGAAGGACGCCTAATAATTCCGTCTACGACTGCATTTATTTCGTCGGTGTCCGTTAAGTCTAGTCTACAATGTGCTTTCTGCGTCTAGAAATATTATATTTTATGTAAACAAATGAAAACGCTTAAAAAAATTTGTCGTCGGTGTACGATTATACAATGTATACTGTACAACTGATCTCGCCTTGCACACATTTTTTTTAAACGTATCTATTGACTACAAAATAGAATATTTCTAGACGCAGAGAGCACATTGTAAATTAGGCTTTAATCCGAATTTTGTTGCTCGCTCCACGTGTCCGACATCCTCGCGAAAAATATATTTTTCGGCGCAAACTATCTCGTGCTTATCTACTACGGAATTTTTTACGTTTACATTGTTTACGCAGGGTACATGTTTTGTTGACGTGCCACGCGGACCTGCTAATCTCAATGATTTCTCTCGACCGCTACAATTATCAAGCACATTCACTTTACGAATGATTCCGCGTGGCATACGAATTCCGATAAGCACGTATACAGGGTGTCCTGAAATTCGCGAATCAAAATACCACAGCAAGAAAGTCGTCGAAAAAATAAATTAAAAAGTTATTCGAAAAATGGCAAATAACTTTTTAATTTATTTTTTTCGACGACTTTCTTGATATGCAATTTTGATTCGCGAATTTCAGGACACCCTGTATGTATACTTATAGAGATTTGTATGTTATGCAGAACTTATCGTGAATTTAAAATGCTAACTACACAACCGAGGGAATATGTATGTACAGTCGTGGTCGGAAAGGTTGTCCGACGTTTTATGATAAATTTCGGAAATACAGTTTATCACACGAGAGATTATAGCGGATTCCATGACGGATGTGTGCAGTGACGCGTTATCACAGCAAAAGAATGATATGTACGACTATCTACGAAATAATCACGTACGAATATTTCGAAAACTTACTGTGAAACGTCGAACAATCTTTCTATGGCCGCACACTAGGAATCACTGATGCCTTTTCGTGATGAATTTACATCACATTTATACATTTTGCATATACGCACATGGAAAATGTGTATGTGTTCTACCTGTGCCTAAATTCAGATGGGAATGCATCCGTGATTTTTAGTGTACGCTATAAATTCATATGGGAAGGCATCGGTAATTCCTAGTGTACACGCACCGGCATAAATGCTGTCCCTATCCTTGTGAGGTGCACGCACACAACTAGAGTCCCTGTAGTTGTGTGCGTGCACCTCGCAAGGATAGGGACAGCATTTATGCCGGTGCGTGTACATACGCTATCTGGTAAATTCTAGAGGAATTCTGATTCGTCAATTTTCTAACAGACGACTGGTTGAATCTATCAGATTTTTTTTCAGTGTAGTGTACGCACACTAGTGCTAAAAGAGAATCTGGTTGCGTTAATTAAAAATCTGGTAGATTCAGCCAGTCGTCTGTTAGAAAATCGACGAATCGGAATTCCTTTAGGATTTACCAGATGTGTATAAGCGGAGTCTAGCAAACTTCTGGTTATGAAATATCAAGCCCTATCGTGCTAACTAGAAATTCTGTTTGGTTTAACCAAAATACATTCTATCACACATATCTTGTTGATACAATCGAAGCATTTTTCTCAGTTTCCCCGTATGAATGTAGGCGCATGTAGAACGCATGTTACATTTTTCATGTATGTATATGCAAAGTGTATAAATGTGTTGATATGTGCGCAAATTCACGTGGGAAGGCATCGGCGATTCCTAGTGTACAATGCATCGTTCGATGTCGCGATATGAGTTATTACTACTCGAACGTATGTGGGATAATTGAATCGATATTGGGAAATTAGTGTAGGATAATTGAATCTATATCGAGAAATTAGTGTTTTATATATATATATATATATATATATATATATATAGTTGTCTGTATTACGAAACCTCGGTGATTTCGCGGCTCATAAATCATGACTGCGATCATCCGTTTCCCGTGTTTCTCATATGTCGTAAAACAGTGGCGCGTACGTCATTCCCGTATCGTGTTATCTTGCTCTTATAAATGCTATACGATCATGCCTCATTCAGGTATACATATACGCATTCCTAGCGATCGGATCAAGCGCGATTATGATAACGTATTTCAGTCGTAAAGGTACTAGTTGGGTATGAAAGAGATTCTGCCGGTAGAAAGATAAATAAAGACGGTGTAAAATGATATCTTCTTGAGCAAATTCCGAAAAGCCGATAAATTGGAAGTGTCTTCCTTCAATTCGCTGTTAAATGTGTGGCATTCAATTTAACTCAATGAGCAGTCGCCACTGCTCTTACTCAATGTGTCGTTGATTTAATTAAACAACGAAGTTAAGAGGAACCGTGAAACAGATTGAATAAAAGACGTGGTCGCTCCTTGAACAATTTAATAGTTGTTCAAATCATCTTTTTAATTAAAAGACGTAGTTGGTTTGTAACTACAATTTCTGTTCAAATAATAAATCTTGCTACACTTGATAGTTAAAAACAACAACACATTGAGTAGGAGCAGTGGCGACTCATTCTCTTCTTTAATGTCGACAAGTAAAAGAAGATGATGTTCTGATCTTAAAGAATTGACGGCGACACAACGTGATCAGAAGATTAATTAACATTAGAAATTTTGTTTGGAATTGAATCGCTCAGTGACTACGAAGCTTTATCGACTTAATACTACAAAAACGGTGAAGCTTACACAATCTTTTAGTTGCGTCATAGATCCACAAATTCTTGTTCTCATTGTCAGATATTTTGCAGATAGGTTTGTTCTTACACTCCGGGATTGAGATGTCGAGAGTAAAAATAATTCTCATTTTAAAACATAGAAGGCAGAGTCGACAACAAGTATACAGGGACTTTCCTTCAAGTATATGGTGTCTGTGTTTTAGGGATAATGTATTTTTAAGAATAATACATTTTCAGAAATTTACGCGTATATTTTGAAATTTCTCGGTATAGAAATATCGTGCGCAAACTTTGGAATAACTTCGCTGGTTCGTAGACTTTTTCCTTCAGCTCTTTCGTTTATCTCTTCTTGCGTCACGGACTAGCCGTAATGCGCCTATTATCGAGTACATAATGAGCACTTATGCTCTCTACGTGCAATACCTTTGTATGCAAATGGCAATTATATCTAGGCTATAACGCGCACATGGAAACAACATATCTGTATGTCTGTACGTCCTAGCGATTAGTTCCCCCGCACAGAGCGTGCGTTTCCATAACTTCTTATGTAATCTCTAATTCCAGTCATTGCGCGTATCACGTGGTCTCGCGAATTAAGTTTTAGCAATGACGGTATGAGGGCACGTGTGACATTCGGTCTACGTATGATAAGCGATAACAAATAATAACTTCGCAGTCGACTTGAAAAACTTCGTAGAGATAGTGTAATCTTGAAAATAATACGATAAACTCGTTTTTAGAACGAAAAATTTCAGGGACTTTGTTTTGGGAGCATTGAAACCCTCGCAAATAAGACGTCGTTTCTCGCAATATGCAATATTTCGTGGCTTTCCTCCGGAAACGTCCAAAGAAATATTGAATCCTTGAAAAACGAAATGGCACGGTTTTGTTCCGCCAGTACGAGATGGAGCAACACTGCCGAGAGACTCGTAAATTTCCAGCTATTGTGTACAATTCTTTAATAATTGTAAAATATTGAAAAAAACACTCACAAAACGGTTTGAAGATTTACGAGCAAGATTTATATACTGCCCGACACTGATTTTGACAAATTTTTGTGTGGGCACATTTAAAATCAATTTTCTTTAATGCCAACAAGTAAAAAACAAGGATGCTGTTTCTGTCTTGATGAATTGACGGCGAAACAGCGTGACGAGAAGATTTAGATTGGACTTTCTTTGGACCTGAATCGCTATAAAACTTTATTAATTTTTTTCGC